GGATCTGGAGCAACACTTTGCTACTTAAAATGCATTTCATACACAGAAAAAAATTCTGAATTGTAACTATCGCGTTAAATCTCCCTTCGTTTAATTTTGAGGTATACTTGGCATAAACAGCGAAATCGTTTACAAGCTTGCATACAATATTGCTAAATATCACGTAAATTTATGCCAAATCTAGCGTTAATTTTACGTGCGCTATAGCCCGCAGAAATTTTCATGAATTTTTCGAACGGTGTATAACAAACCGGTTTTATATGTTTCAAAGTACGTCTGTCACCATATTAAATTTTGATGTTCCAAAATTATGACAGATTAACTGAATATCATTTGACTCACTTTGATTGTTTCATAGTAACATAGTTCAAACTAACATCAGAAATGATGTAGGGGAAATGGCTCCAATGTTGGCCTATGAATCTAAGATTGGGTCCAACGCTAAAAATCTGCTTATAATTTATCAATTTTAACTAGATGAACGCTTCATTGGGACGGTGCTAATGGATATTTTATGTCGCTAATGAAAATTGAGTCGATTCCTGAATTTATTATGGGCCCAAATTAATGGCATTTAGGCCAACATTACATCCATTTCCCCTACCTATCCCTGTTTATACAAGACATAGGGCTATATTTAAAAAACCGTGCATTATTGGCTACCATTTTCATAAATTTTTCGTGGTCGTCCTTTCTTTCGCTGATGGAAAATTAATATGATCATCTGTTACTTTTGTGTCGTCACCATTTTACATGTAACGATGGCAGTCGCAAAACGGCAAATAAAATGAAACCAGAAGACAAACGCAAAGCTCCAGTTAAGATGTAATAGCTATGAAGAATAGAACTCATCAAAATTTAGTATTAAAAAATCCTTTTTTCAAAGTCACACACTTCTGAAAAAAAAAGTAGAAGGATCTGTGCCTAGGGGCACGAACGGAAGCTTGACGTAGGATCGCTAGTGGACGGAATAAATGTGAAGAGCATTTAGTTCTTTTAATTGATCAATTATCTGTTATCTCAACTCTTTCCGGTTTTTAATTGTAGGCGTACCAAATTGTTAGTATTTTTTTTTTTCAAAGCGAAAGTTGATTAAGAGAATCAATCAAAATCACTTGCACTCCTGCTTCCAAGTTTGGTTACAAGATTATAACTCTGGAGAGCATTTTGTGTGGTCGTTGGGGGCTTGTGGTTCTGAATATGGACAAACAAGCACAGATAAATTCTATTCCAACTCTTTACTGATGTAAGCTTGATGGCCCTGAAAAGGGCCGTTTTATTGAAGAAGACATCCATGGCCACTTACGCTTGGCGTGCTGAGTGTAGGTGACAGCATCACGGACCTCATTTTCCAGGAACACCTTCGGCACACCTCGTAGATCAGACCGGAGATACGTTTGACACCACCACGGCGAGCCAGACGACCGATGGCGGCTATATCGAAGAACTTTGCGATGACGCTTGGCGCCTCCTTTACCACGACAAGTCAATTGTTGATTGTTAGGTGTTAAGGTGTGGACTAGCCACCACCTTCCTACTGCTGCTATTGCGAAGCGAAAATGAGCTAATGCAAAATATTACGCAATTCCATCCTCCCTATTCGCCCGCGCCCGAGGATCGGAGGCGAATGCCACTTCGACTTGTTTCGTCTACTTACTACTCTCTGACGACTGTGCTGGGGAAGCAGCATATGCATGTAGGTAATTGGTTTTGGGATTTGTTAATTAATTTGACGCTTTTGAACAATGCTGGACATTTACCAGTTTTTCAATAGTTTCTTGTTGAAAATCAATAATGTTATCGATGCGTAGCCATATTTCTGATCGATTGGTGATAAAATTATTGAAATTGGACCATCAAAATCTTTCTTAATTTTTTACATGTTCCATTTTCGGTTTTCACAAAGTGTACCCCCATATAGAAATCAAAGACGTAGTCCTACGTCAAAAAAAAAAATTGTGCACTATCCAAAGGCAGCAATTCACTTGGTACGCTAGTGGCATCTGGTGAGGAAACAGGTCTTGTAAATCTGAAGAACATTGCGAAAAATTGCCTATCTAGTAGAGCTGTCAAGTTAAAGCAAGTAACTAAAAGTAAAATTGTACACTCGGAGCCGGCTGGTGTGAGAATTCCGAGCTGAGCTGCTCACTTTACAATAGGTCTTGGTAATCTGAACAACGTTACTGGAGCAAGCTTTTATCTAGTCGAGATGTCGACCTAAGCAAGTCATTAAAATTAAATAACATTAGTGTCACAGACAAACAGACGTAATTCTTTGTCCTTAATGGTCGTACTCGTAATTAACGTTCGATTTAAATATTATTTGTTTCACGAGTCCCTCACCACAGCGCTGACATTGGATCACTTTGACGTTTCTATAGATTCAATCGAACTTGTATGCAACATTGACTTGGCAAACAAGTTCTTTTCCGCGAATATCTCGCGAGATGTCGTTAGTGATTTCTGCGACGATATTTTTAAATAAAATTAATTTTAAAAGCTACTACTGTGCTAGTTGTGAGTGAATTTTCAACTAAAATGCCCACCAAACGAGAGGGCTTGTAATTCATAACAACTTTACGCAAGACAGAAAACTTATATCTAGTCGTGCTGTCAAGTTATAGATAGTAAACAATAAGATGTCAAATTGTACACTAGCGTCACCTGGTTGGTGAATTGTGAACTGAGCCGTCCACCATAAAAAAAAGTCTTATTAATCTGAGCATCATTGTCTAAGACCGCAACCTTCTATCTCGCAAGTTAAAGCAAGAATTTAGCAGGTAAATAGCCATTTGGTGAGTGAATTTTTAGATGTGATGGTGCACCATTACTATGCACAATAGGTTTATTCATATGAACGCCTTGGCCGAAGACAGCAACCTTCAATCTAGTAGTGATGTAAGCAAGTAATTTGAAAATAAATGGCTCATCAGCGGTTCATGACATCTACTCAAAATTTAATCGGTTTTCACTCAAATTCACAAAAACTCTAAGTTTCTTATTGACTGAGTAAAATTATCGTCGGTTTGTCTTAAATTTTAAAGGAGTATGGAGCGAAAACTCAAAACTTGATATCTTAAAAAAATATATCTCATAAACGAAAAAAAAAACATCGCTGATTTCGCGATATAAATAACCTAAATTTTTATATATTAATAGCTAAAAGACCATATTTTAATAGCTAATTCCATATCTGTCTCTTTTATCTTCACGGTGGATGTTCATGGTATACTTTGATGTAATAAGACCACTGAAAATTCGCTTGAACTTCGTAGAATATTAGAAAATATTTCCAAAAAGGGGTCTGAGAAAATTGTGTCAATTCTGTAATTGAATTGATGCACCATACGTAATTTCACCAGACTCGGGTAATTTATTTTAAGATTACATGTAATAATAAATTGGATTTGTGTTCCTCGGTCACAATATCATTGCCTTTTCTATTTTCATTATTCATAAATCTGATGCCAGGCAATAAAATGGATATTTTTTAAACTACGTACTTGTTGAAAGTACAAGATGTAATGATGTAATTTTGGTAAATATAGCAAAATCACTTGGCTAACTCAATACATTTTGAAAACTTCCACGAAAACTGCTTGAAAATATTGAAGCTAAGCAACATCGATCTCACCAACCACTCTCACCACACTCGCCAGACCCATTATAAACGTGCAAAATTCCTCCACATAAATTCCAATCCTATCAGCGTTCAACCGTAATCCGTTCGACCACCCACAAACTATACCCCACGGCAGCAGAAAGTTGCCCCATCGCGATCTGCTACCCAACCCCTCGATAACACGTTCCGCCCATGCTATTACCACCCTGTTTCAGCGGTGGTGCTTGCTGAAGACCCCAAACGGTAGAGGAAAAGCTGCTCTCAAACCTAAATGCCCGTTTTTCTCCCATTACTGGTTGAGCTATCTCGCCCCCTGCCCTAGCCCGATCCCAGTTCAATTTGAATATAATTGATGGTGTAGTGTGTACTTTATCTCTTTTTCACATTGTTAGTCCCTCGAAAGTCCCTCTCCCCTCATCAGCAGCTGATCATCGCATTTTCTGTGGATGATCTTTCACTAAGCTTCCTTGGACGAGAGGCGCCCATCAGTGACCGTCGAGAGTCGCAGCTGCCAACAACACAAAACTTTTGAGCTGTGTGTACCTAGAAGAGCCGCTGACTGTGGGATTCGTCAAAAACAGATTCCAAACCACCACCGGCCGTCCCTTCTTTCAGCTTCCCAGTCCCAGTGTGTGTTGTGTCCTACTAGGGTTGCGCATTCCAACGAACACAAAACCCGCGCGCGCGAATTGAGTGTCCACCAAGAAGAGGTTCATCGCTTGTTGTTGCTTCCCTTTTTCAAGTCTCTCCCTCTCTGTTCAACTGACTCACTCACTCGCTCGTTCGTCCGTTCGCTCACAATTCGATGGCCTCTAATGGCCCAAAATGATCACACCTTCGAAGTAGCTGCGGCGATGATGCTTCCCAAGACCAAGAAGACCAATTGCTGACTGCTCCCAGGTGGAAGCGAAGAAAAGCCCAAAAACGAAGATAATCGAGTGGAGAAATCGAAGAAAAACAACAAATATTTTCGAAACGAGCTAACTGCTGCTGCTGCTGAGCGACCTAGGAGCACCAAAAGAAGGGAGGAGGGCTCGACCGTGCGGACGAGGAGAGTGACGAGAAAAACGAGTGTGCGTGTGTGTATTGCAGTGGAAAAAGAAGAAAAACACAACATCGACGAGCGGGCAAAAATATCAGTTATTTCCAATCGCCTTCGACCCGGGCCATCGTGAGACTCCCAACAAAGTGTATCTAGTAATAATTAAATTGCTATCGGATCCGGAAGTGAACCACAGCGTCCGAGGTGACGATTTTGACGAACTGATGCGCGGCCATGTGAAAAGTGATATTGAAAAGAAAATGTGGTGGTAATTTTGGTGGCAATTCAAGTCGGTTACCGTTTTCTTTTTGAGTGCTTTATGGAAATTGTAGTTGAAATGCAAATAAAGCAACGGGACTGGTCACCGAGAGCGCAAACCGTGGGACAATGGATTAATTACGGTGCTGATGGACATGTCAATCGGATAGAATCGGACACGCTTTGGATTGGAATCGGACAGCCGGACAGCGCCTCCGTTGCCACCGGAACAGGAACTGAGCAATGAGCAGTGCGAAAAGGGTGTTCAATGTTATCATCGTTTGGTTCGTTTTGAAGGTTGTTGGAAGGTGAGTTTGAATATTTGTTTAAGGGTAGTAGAAAATAATGTGCTACATGGCTTTGCTATGCTTAGATGCAATATAATCTTATGTTGACGTCCCAGCCAACTGCAACGGATAAGGTCTATATTAACAGCAGAGTTAATTTATGAACATCAAATCAATCATCCCCAAGAAACCGACTCATAAAGAATGTAAAGTGGTATGTGGTTCATGGTGAGACAGAATCATGATTGTAAAGTATTCGACCATATTCAAGAGATAATGATGTAGCATCGGACAGTTTCTGACTTATTATTTATTATCTGATTGATCCCTTATTTTATCGATTGCATCAAATCAACAGAGCTCACATTTACATGTAGTATCCCGTTTGCAAGGTTACATAAATCCGAGTTTAGACGAGGCAATTGAATTGAATTCTGATGGTCGACGTTTAAGTGACTTCAAAGCGACTACATAAAGTTGGACATCGACCAACTTTTTGGTCGTTCATTTCGCAGTTCAATTGAGTTGAACGCCGAACTGAATCATCTTAATTGTTGTTTTGTTTACATATGATGAAGAAGAAACAGTGAGTAGCAATAGAGTCATTTGTCACTGGTGTAACAACTGAAACGTTAGTTTTTCATCACAAGCAACTAACTGACGCTTGCGACACTTTTCTTTATCGAAGGTTGGGCCCATCGCTAAAAATCTGCTGTTTATCAATTGTATCTAGATGAACGCATAATTGGGACGGTACTAATGGATATTTACGGTATTACCATACCGGAGGCGGCGGGTTCGATTCCCGGTCCGGTCGAGGGAATCTTTCGGGTTGGAAATTTTCTCGACTTCCCTGGGCATAGAGTATCATTGTGCTTGCCACACAATATACAAATTCATGCATTGGTATTGGCATCGAAAGCTCTCAATTAATAACTGTGGAAGTGCATTTATAGAACACTAAGTTGAGAGCACGCAATAAGCTAATATGCGCTAAGCAATAAGCTTGAATGCTAATAAGAAGAAGAAGAATTGATATTTTTGGTCGCTATTGAAAATTTAGTCGATTGCTGAATTTATGTATGAACCCAAATAAGGTGTATTTAGGCCCCCTATATGACTGTGAGCTTGATTATCATATCGAACAACATTGTCTCACATTCTCGTAGACGTGCGAATAGCAGCTTCACCCGTCGTCCAGACGTGTTGTGTGTGTAGCACGGAGTAAAGGTTTGAATCCCGCCCCAGGATGTTAGAAACCCGCTCTAGTAATAAATGTACACGCCATTTGGTTTTGTGTGTACAAATGAGCAAAATATCAAATAATTATTAAGGGGGTATTCCCAATCTTCACAAAATGGCGGCAAACAGACCCCTGTTCGCCGCAAACGCCTGGACGGGCGAAGACTTTTCTCTGGAACGGCTTCATCTGAAACAGATTTCGTGATGAAATTAATAATCTGCATAAGATTCTCTGGAGCTTCTCCCGTTGGCAGCAAAAAATCTTGCAAATTAACAAAATGGCGGCCATATGAAAAAACAGGCGATTTTTAGCCCGCTTTTTTGCAGCTTTAAGGTGCTTCAAACAATGTTAAATGTTAATATTTTTGGCTGAAAGTGGAAGAAGCTCCAAAGAATTTAATAAGGAACAAAATGCGCAAAGATTCAAGTCAATATCTCTTATAGTTTCTGAGAAAAATCCTCGCCCGATAAAAAAAATGTGGTTTCGAGAAAAACGCGTTTAAAGTTTTGACTTTAGTTAAAACCATTTGGGGGTTCTTACCATTAGTCAGCTATGCCTGGACACCGAATTCGCTGATCGGAAAACGGCTTGGGAGGATGAAAGTATATAGTCTAAAGTACAAAAAAACATGAAAAAAAAAAATTTGATTTTTTGAAAAAAAAAAAGATCGGGAATACCCCCTAATGCCTACCATGCTCGAAATATAACGTAAATTTGTATGATAGTTCGGTATGATTACACACGTTTATATTATGCTGCTAACTAAATAAGAAATGTATGTACCACGGTGCATTGGGGTTTCTTCAGGAAGTAGTAGTTAAAATGACATTATACTAGAATTTCTAAATCTTCATGAACATCCATCAGCACCACAACAATAACATTGAATCATAAATATTTGATCAACCAACAGCCAAGATGCCAGAAATCTGTCTATCTTATCCCCGTAGAGTAAAGCGGGGCAAGAGTACGCAGGCGGCAAAAGTACGCACTGGTTCGAAAGACAGGTAAACGAAATGATGGACCAATGATTATGAGTAGGATTGAAGCCTCTACTGCATCCAAGCTGTCTAGAAAAATATTGTGTATTTTGAATAATCCACCTAAAGGTTATCACCAGAAGTATGTATTTTTTTCGAATTTTGCATATTTATTACAATTGCATTTACATTTTTTTTGGAAGCGGCATTATGATATCATGGATGAAGATTATAACCTAAGTATTCCAGTATTATGATTGATCTAAAGTATATGACAGGTAATTTATGGTATGTATCAGTAGACAATATAAGAAAGACGTAATTTATGGAAGGCCCTTTTAATTATTGACTTCGAGTGGGGCAAGAGTACGAATGGGTTAGAGTGGTTTCAATTTTTTTAAATGATTATAGAACCTGTTGTTAATTTTTGATTAGTAAGATTTAGTGCAATAATATTACCGAATATATCGACAGTGAGCATGCATAAGGGCGTAAACGCGATGATTGATTCTTTGTCGATAACGATAATCGATTGTTAATAACTCGCTAGATTTAACGTTTCTCGGTGCGTTTGCTGTTGCTTTTGATGGCCAATACAACATGTTACAACTCTGCATTAAACAAATTCTAGAAAATTGTTTCGCTTAGCTGTAGCAATGCAAAGAGAAAATTGACGAAGAGAATGGATCATCGCGTATACGCCCTTATGAATACTCACTGTCGATATTATTTACATCATATTTGTATGATTTAATGGTAATTCTCACCACTACAAAACCACTAACTTTCAACACTTGAACAAACAAAACTGATGAGGTCGTACATATAATATGCTCGTAAATATGACGAACTAAGGTCCAATTTTGATTTGTTCTAGATTTAGAACGCCTTCATTCGAATGAAATAGCCGTTTGTAAAACATTTAATAAGATGCGCACTATTTCCCCACCAGTTGTCTTATCATAGAGTACGTAATTAGTTTTAAAATTCATGTATCTTTTTTACCGTAACAACAAATTTAAGTTTATAACTCAGCGGTTCCGGTGGTGTAGTGGTAAGCGTGATTGCCTCTCACCCCAAAGAGCCTGGGTTCAATCTCAGTCAGCACCACCAGAATTTTCTGAGGCATAAAATCTCTGATCACGCCTTCCTTCGGAAGGGAAGTAAATCCGTTAGGCCCCTGTCCATGAGTTGATGAGTCGAAATGTAGGGTCCAGGTGTGGGAGCTGTCTTCCTGGCGTCGCACAGTGGTCCAGATCTGTAAAAACCCGGTCAAAAGTGATTATCTCACGAACGATGCATTTTAGACATGTGGTGTCTTCAGGAAAGTTTCTGGATATGAAAAGCCCCTTCTTATGACATTGACAGATCAATGATTAATCCCCCTAGAAGTGAGATCGAAAATTTATTTTTGTCAAAGTTTCATATTTTGGATCGGTGTCTTGGGCAAAGTTTTAGAAAATATCATAACAAGAAACTTTGCTGAAGACACTAGGTGTCCATTTCTTTACCCCATTGAAATATGGAACGTTTTTGGTAGAAACCCCCTTAATTTAAGTTTTTGCTCTATAACAATTTTCATTTAACTGCTACTGGTTTGAAATGTTCTACAAAATTTTTCAAAACATCAAAACCTACAAAATTTCTGAAGATTATAGGATACTAAATTGCATAATAGGTCAGTTATTATTGATTTTTCCGAAAAAATAATAATTTTTGGCCACTTAATTATGATTTACTACCATTCTCCACGAAATCCCACGTTGAAATCAATTGCAAAATAATCGTTTAGGTGTGTTTTTATCAAAACATTCGACATTTCATGCAGAAACATGCAGAAACATGAGTTAGAGGTAACATAATGCGTAATATGCGATGTTTTCTATGGAAAACACCTTAATATTGAGTTTTTCGTACATATAATATTCTTTGAACCTCTACTGCTTCAAAGTAGGGCCACATATTTTCAAAATATTCCACCGTACTGTATTTTCAAAGTAATTCTTTATTTTTATTGAAACATATATGTTTTTGCAGTTTGATGGCGATTTGCTGCCGCAAAACAAAATTAAGCTTTCTTTATTTTTTCAAAGCCTAACTTCTTTTTCAGTATTGCTAATACTTTATTGTTAGCTTGGCACAATCATGGTTTGGTAAACGTACATATTAAGTAACAGATATTAATATTATATAAAAACTTGGCTAATTTCAAACAGTCTTCATTCATGCATTATAATTTCAACAAATTTTGCACAGCATCAGGTAATGTTTGGGATAACTTGGATTTCATTGGTCTGGTCATTGACAAAAGTATATCGCCTGTAATAAACCAAGAGATATGTTATTTCTTATTTTTCCTGTTTTTAAAAGAATTTTCTTACCCGTTAAAATTAATCTTTGCAACAGATCCGTCATTGTGGCTTGGCGAGAGGTCTTTCGCGTCCGATGCTCTCGAAATGACCTTACATTTTTATTCCGAGCTTCTAACGCTTCTTCCGAGTAAAGACCCATCGGAAGCTCCATCGACTCCATTACATCAGCACCATGAATTAGTATAAAGTGCACTGATGATGGCATGTAGTACCAAGGATACTTTTTCTCAAATAAACGGGCTCTCTCCAGTGCGAATATTCTGAACTTCTCGGTATCAATTTCGCGACCACAGGCTAGAGTAGTTAAAATCACCGAGAATCGCTCCATAACTTCTCTGTCGAACCCAGTGATATCTGCCACAATGGAAATACTATCAAAAAATTTGCGAGCCGTATTGCCATCATTGGTAGTTCCGGTTCCTGGCT